CAAAAATGAATAGCTACTTCATCATTAGGTTTTTCAAAAAAAAAAAAAAGTGAAGAAAAATGTTGGAAAAAAAGTATTGATTAATGTTTCTTCATATGGCCTTATTTTATGGATGAGCTTCACATAACCCGGTTGTCCCTCAGAACAGACTAAAAGCCACTAAGCTGAGCTCCTAACTTAAACACTTAATTTATCACTTCATCTTCACCATCGTCTTTTAAGATTCCATGCCCTTGCCTATCCCACAGACTTCCCCATGAGACATCCCTTAATTTTAAGGCATCTAGATCATATGTAGGCATAGAATATTGTTGATGCAGATAAGGGAGAAACTAGTGACTTAATATGCTATAAAATGCTCGGAAGAGGGCCAGGCATAGTGGCTCACACCTGTAATCCCAGCAGGTTGGGAGGCTGAGACAAGCGGATCACTTGAGTCCAGGAGTCTGAGATCAGTCTGGGCAACATGGCGAAACCTATCTTCACAAAAAATACAAAAATTAGCTGGGTGTAATAGTGTGCCCTGTAGTTCCAGCTGCTTGGGAAGCTGAGGTAGAAGGACGACTTGAGCCTGGGAGGTTGAGACTGAGTGGGCCATGATCACACCACTGCACTCCAGTCTGGGCGAGTGTGACCCTGACTCAAAAAAAATGCTCTGAAGAGTGTGCGTGTGTGTGTGTGTGTCCAGCATTTATCTCATGTTTTTCTTTTTCCTTTTTTTTTTTTTTTTTTTTTTTGAGACAGGGTCTCACTCTGTCACCCAGGCTGGAGTGCAGTGGTACAATTCCAGCTCCCTACAACCTCTGCCTCCCAAGTTAAAGTGATTCTCTTGCCTCAGACTCCCGGGTGGCTGGGATTACAGGTGTGCGCCACCACACTAATTTTTTTTTCTTTCTTTTTTTTTTTTTGTATTTTTAGTAGAGACGGGATTTCACCATGTTGGACAGGCTGGTCTCAAACTCCTGGCCTCAAGTGATCTGCCCACCTCGGCTTCCCGAAGTGCTGGAATTATAGGCGTGAGCCACCATGCCCAGACATGTTTTTCATTTTAAGTAATTCCACTCAAGATGAAGAAATAACATTCAATGTATATGAAACAGCCAGTAAAAAATGAGTCGGGAATTTTCAGGATGCAAATCAGGAGTTTAAATTTTTATCTAGGATTTTATGTAAATATTGGACCTGCAAAAAAGTGGTTTTAGCTTGTGTTTACAGTCTAAATACCTCTTTCTCAACACTAGCACCCACCAAGCCTACCCCTACTCCACTAAACTAACCAATCAAAGCTAGGATACTATCAAGCACCTCATCAAAAGAGTTTATAGTGAGATAATTTACCTCAATGTTACATACTTGACTGTGTACATAGAAAAGGCTGATGGGTATAGGCTTAATAACACTTGAATTTAGGTCAGGCATGGTGGCTCCCTCCTGTAATCCCAGCACTTTGAGAGGCCAAGGCAGGCAAATCACTTGAGGTCAGGAGTTTGAGACCAGCCTGGGCAATATGGTAAAACTCCGTCTCTACCCAAAATACAACAAAAAAAAATCAGCTTGTCATGGTGGCACCTGCCTGTAGTCTCAGCTACAAGGGAGGCTGAGGTGGCAGAATCTCTTGAACCCAGGAATTCAAGGCCGTAGTGAGCCGAGATCATGCCGTGGCACTCGTGGGCAATAGAGTGGCCCTGCCTCAAAAAAAAAAAAAAAACTTGAATTGATTTAGTAAAGTTCAAAGTATCATCTACAATTTTAAAAAGATAATATTAAAAGAATATTATTGTCACACAACTCATATAAAATACTCATCTCTCTTAAAGAAGAGACTTCTATGAGATACCAAACCAGGTTGTTTAAAATACAAGATATGAAGGTCCTTACTAAATAAAGAAAACCCTGCATTCATGTGACTTCAATAGCACATGAGTAGTTGAGGCTCAAAAAAGGAAGTGGATTCCTGGGCGTTCATGGCCCTTTTGTTCAAATCAGGATAAGAAACAGAAATGAGTGAACACTTCTTTAAAAACTCTAAAGAAAAGGAAAATGGCTTTCCCTTGATCAATTTCCAATGATTAACAACGTGCTTTTTCATTAAATGGGAAGAGGTAAAGCTCTGAGGACCTAAGGACCCATGAGATGACTAAAAAGCAGCAGGTTTTTGCCGAAATCACAGACCGCCTCCCTGTAATATACTATACCTTCAAATCTCTGCATCCTGTAATTTCAAATGAAAACTCTTAATGTCTTAAGTTTTAAATGTCATATTTTTCATCAACATTGGAAGATACATTTTAAGAAGGCAAAAGAGCACAGTGGCTAAAAGTTCAGGCCCACCTGCTCATCTATGGATTTAATTTCTCACCATAAACAGGAAAAAAAATGCATCGATTACTATTATCATATGGTATAGGAATTTCCATAAGTATTTTTAATAATCAAAAAGAAGGGAAAGTATTTCCTCTCGTTAAACATGACCTTTCCAGAACAGTCTAAGCCATTTAACATGGGAGCAGGAAAATACATCAGCTTAATCTTTCCTAGTTTCCACTACTGTTTATAATCTAAAACCACTTTGTAAAAATGTATAGGTCACTGCTTATATTAAAATGACAAAATATGAAATTAAACAGTTCTCATCAATAGTGATCTCCTATTGTATTGTCAGAGATGGAATTCCAAATCACAGCTGAAGCTTTTAGTCAAATTGACAATTACAATGCAAATAGCCAGGCTCTGGTGTCTTAAGAAAAGGGGTGGGAATCAATCTTTCGCTCCCTCTTTCTTTGTAATTTTGTGCATTCTGCAAAGAGAGAAGAAAATAAGTACAGAAAATTTCTCTAATTTTCTCTTGCAGAAAAGAACAATTGTCTCTTTAGTACTATTCTTATGCTCACCAGATGTAATTTGCTTTGAGAACAAATGTATAAAAATCAAGGTTAAAAAAAAAAAAGCCTACCCACATGCTGTATCTAATTATTCAACAACATATCCTCTTCAAAGTAATTACCAACTTAAAAGGTTATGCCTTCTTTTGTGAAATGGAAGGAAATGGAATTTCAGAAAACAAAAGCAGATTTTTCTATCAGCTTACATTAAATTTCAGTGTTGCAATTTTTGTTCCTAATTTTCAATTAACAGTGAAAAAAAAAACTTTTAAAAAATCTGTCGATTAATAAAGGTTAATGAGCTACAAGCACACACAAGTGTATTTTTAGAACTCTTAGAAAAATCATTTCATAAATGAAAATAATTTCCATTTGTTTTGAATCTTTTGGGTTTCTTGCTGTTTCTACTTTTTATATTTTATGTGTAGACCAAAGACACATTTAAAGGGAATTTCAACAAATCAATATTATAAATGATAAGTCACAAAATATAACCAATATGATAAAATAAGAATCCATGAGTGCACATAATAAAAAGTTCTTTCTTAGAGTAGGATTCTATAAATGTAGAACGAATCATATTAAATCACTATCTGGCACTACTTATAGTAGTAATTGTTTCAGATGAGTCAATAATAGATGCTAAAATTAGTGAGCAAAAGTACAATAGAAACAGGATATGTTGAAGTCCCAAAGAGTTATCCTATAAAATAGATAATTTTAAGAGAACAATTGTAACTTTACAGTGGATAAACCCACCCAGTAGGCAACACGATAGCCAAGTGTTCAGTTTTCACCAGTAATGTAACAAACCAACATTCTATGACTCCTAAGATGACACTATGGGAAGGACATAACTCCAATTATCTAAGTTTCAAGCCAAAAGTCCATCACCTGAATCTAGTCATGAACAAACATCAAGAAACCCAAAATGAAAGCCATTCTACAAAATAGTTTACGCCCTGAGAAGTCATCACTCATGATGACAGAAAAACCGTTCCAGATTAAAGGAAACTAAAGAGACATGACAACTAAATGCCATGTGTGAACCTATATTTTATCCTGAATCAGGAAAGGACACTACTGTAGTAGCAAAATTTGAATAAAATGTATAGATTAAGCCATAGTATTTTATTGACTTCAATTTCCTAATTTTGATTGTTATACTGTAACTACAAAAGAAAACATACATATCAAATTATTTAGATGAAAAACAATTTATTTTTTAATCAGTTGACTTTAAGATTCACAGATAAGTATGTATATCATGTCTGCAAATTAAAAATGTTTCACAAAAAAATTACATATATGTGGATGTATCTAGAATAAATGATGAAACAAGTCTGGTAAAATATGAATAATAAGGGAATCTAGGTAAAGGTTGTATAGAAATTCTTTATTCTAAATTTTCAACTTTATCTATGTCTGAAATTTCACATTAAAAAGAGTACCTAAAGGGTAACTATTCTCCATTTTAAATTGGTTTGATAATAACCTAATTCAGGAGTTGTCAAACTTTTTCTATAAAGGGCCAACCTGCCAATACTTTAAACCTTGTGGGCCATATATTCTTGTGGGCTACAACTACTCAACTCTGCCACTGTGTCACAAAAGCACCAACAGACAATATATAAATGAATAGGAGTGGTTGTGCTCCAATAAAACTATTTACAGAAATAGACGATGGGCCAGATTGGACCTGTGAGCCATCGTTTAATGACCCCTGGTCTAGTCTATGCCCAGAAAAATTAATCAGAATAATTATACTTTCAGTTAACATTTTCTGAGCATATGACAGACAGTATGTTAAGAGCTTTACTGGCATTAATTCATTTATCCTTGCACTATTCTAATTAGGTCAATAGTATTATTATTTCCATTTTCCACAGACAAAACTAGCACCTAGAGAAGTTAAGAAACTTGCCCAACTAACGTCACATGGACAGCAAGTATGAAACCAGGGAGGTCTGATTCTACACACTGAACTACAACCAATATGTGATATTAATACTTCTCAGATGGGTTGAATTATACTGTCACATGCAATAACCATTTTAACATGGCTAAATAAATATCCAAATTCAAGATTTACATTCCATGAAAGTGCTTTTCACAAACCTCCTGTAGCTGCAGGGACATGAGTCCCAGTTGATCCTGGCGTCTTTCCACCAGCTCCCTTTCTGTGCGCATCTCTCTCTCTAGTTCCTGAAGCCGCCGCTCCACCCGATCTGAAACCTTAATAAGAATTCAGAGAAACAGCAGCATTACAGAGCTAGCAAGCAAAACAGACTAAATTGAGAAGATAGTTTTATAGCAGATACACTACTGCTTGAAGCATTTAAGACTGTTTTGTTTGCAAAGCCCTGTCTAATGACACTAAAATGAAATAGCTGGCCAAAAAACTTATTGAAAGTTAGAAAAGGAAGTCATCATTGATCTCCAAATGATCTACATCTGGATCCCAATAACTGGCTCAAATTTTTTGAGGTATGAGATAATATTCAGTAGATCAGAGTTAAAAGCAATACACTAGAAAAGAGTGCTCTCTGGTGAGTTAGAATGAAAATACCAATTATGCTAAAAATTGCATTTGTTGGCCAATTAATGATAAATTGTTCGATCTAATTAGTTCTTTTCTACTTTTATTATCCATGAGAATGACCTGCCTATGAAGGTACTGATGTTTATTTGTAGTGAATAATTAAGAGGGCTTTACATTAGCTTGTCAATCTTTTCTACTGTGATCTGCTAAAAATAAAACAAGCTATAAAAGATCAAAAACTAAAGTCAAACTGAAAATGTTTAATTGGGACTCTCTAAAATAAACATGAAAGAATTTTTCTCTCTGACACAAAATTTTCCTTACTAAAAGTTGCATAAATTCAAACACATCTCATGTATTTCATTATACAGCCCACTAAATAAAATTTACACTATTGACAATGTCTATATTTCGTACAGAAGGACAAGGAAGACATTTGTATTCGTATAAGAGAAGCAATAAACACAGCTCTGTTATAAGAAATCTTTTGTCACCAATTATTTATACGAGAAAGAATCAAGAAAAGTCCTGACAAGGAACCTTATTGGGGTCATGTAAATGTTCTAAACTGAATTAGGGAGGTGGCTGGATAACTCAGTAAATGTACGAAAGAAAAAAGTTATTAAATTGTACACTTAAAGCATTAATTTTATGGTGCATTATAGCTCAATCAAGTTTTTAAAAAATAAATAGATAAACATAAGTTTACTTAGGTGAGCAAAAGTTTAGTTTACTTTTGAACAACAGGGATTTTAACTGCAAAGATCTATTTATAAGTGGATTTTCTTCTGCCACTACCACTGCTGAGAGAGCAAGACCAATTCCTCCTCAGCCTGCTCAACTTGAAGGCAGAATACCTTTTTGATGATCAGCTTCTACCTAATGAATGACAAACATATTTTATCTTTCTTATAATTTTCTTAATAACTCTTTCCTTTAGCTTACTTTATTGTAAGAATACAATATACAATACATATACAAAATATGTGTTAATTGACTATGTTATTGTTAATGCTTCCCTTAACAGTAGGCTATTAGTAGTTAAGTTCTGGGGGACTTCAGATTTATACTGTATCCCCAGCCTCTGCCTTCAATAGCTTGCTATCTACTGAAGACTGACAATAAATGAGTAGTTAAAATTTCTCTGATTAAATTCAATGAGTTAAATGACTTCTATATTTCAGAAAAGAAGGCTGTTCTTACTAGAATCCTATCAAAATTAAAGCAGTCCAAGTAACCACATACTGAAATCAATATCCAAAAGTATTTAGACATCAGCAACTTTGCTACCATAGCTAATACATGTGATGATACAGAGTTACTATATTTGGAAGATTGTTTCTCAATTTTTTTTTTTTTTTTTTTGAGACAGTCTTACTCTGTCACCCAGGCTGGAGTGCAGTGGCGTGATCTCAGCTCACTGCAATCTCCGCTTCCCGAATTCAAGCAATCCTCCTGCCTCAGTCTCCCTAGTACCTGGGATTACAGGCACCTGCCAACACGCCTGGCTAATATTTGTATTTTTAGGAGACATGTTGTTTCCCCACATTGGCCAGGATGGTCTTGAATTCCTGACCTCAAGTGATCCACTGGCTTTGGCCTCCCAAAGAGCTGGGATTACAGGCGTAAGCCACCATGCCCGGCCTTTGATTCCTTCTAAGTAACAGTTTTATTGAAACATAATTTCATGTATTAATATACATATACATTGTGAAATAACTATAGTCAAGCTAATTAACATATCTATCACTTTACTTAGCTAACATTATTTTTGCCAATACTATAGTCACAATTCTGCACATTAGCTCTCTAGAACCTATTCATCCTACATAAGGAAAACTTTGTACTATATATCCCCATTTTCCTGACCCCTCCCAACTCTGCCCTTTCCCTAGCAACCACCATTCCATTCTCTGCTTCTACGAACTAGACTTTTTAGAGTCCACATTTAAGTGAAATAATGCAGTATTTTATTTTTGTAACTGCCTTACTTCATTTAGAATAATGTCCTTCAGGTTCATCCATTTATTGTTGCAAATGACAGAATTTCCTTCTTTTTAAAAATTGAACAATACTCCATTGGGTGTATATATGTGTGTATGTGTATTTCTTTATCTGTTCTTTGGTCAACAAATACTTATATTGTTTCCATATCTTGACTACTGTGAATAATGCTGCAATGAACATGGGGTATGCAGATGTCTCTTCAAGACACTGATTTCCTTTGGATATGTATCCAGAAGTGAGACTGCTGGATCATTTGGTAGTTTTATTCTTAATTTTGATATTAATGTTTCTCTTACACAACTTCTGACATAGGTCCCAATGATCCATGCTTCTTGGTATTCATGCACCTGTGTAATCCTCTACCCTTGAGTGTAGGCTAACCCTCTAATAAAGAGAACACTACAGAAGTGATGGGGTGTCACTTCTATTATTAGGCTGCAAAAAACTGACTTCCAATTTGCTAGCATCTTCTCTCTTGCCAGTCATCTTCTTGTCTGTTTGTTCTAATAAAGCAGGCTGCCACGTTATGAGATGTTCTACGGAGAGGCCACATGTCAAAGAAACAAAAGAAGCCTTTAAACAGGTCGTGACAAACTGAAGTCTCAAGTCCAGTAACCTACAGGGAACTGAATCCTGACAATGACTTGTCATTGCAGTCAAGCCTTGAGAAGAATGCAGCCTGCAAGTGACCCAGAGCCAAAGGACCCAGCAAAGCCACACCTGTCTCTCAACCCACTGAAACTGCTAAATGAAATGTTCTTTTAAGCCAGTAAGTTAGGGGAAATATGTTACATTAAATGCTAACTGTACATACCCAGACGCCATGACCATCCTCTATGGACCCAGTATACAGGCCAGCCCCACAGATGCAGGCACCAGGCCTACCTCCAGGAACTCAGGTTCCAGGTGCATCTCAGTACTAGACTGGCCCCTGTAAGCACAGGCTCCAGGCCTTCCTCCATGGGCCCAGGTACCAGGCCCATCCCAGTACCAGGCAGACCCCAACAGACTTAGGCTCTAGTCTCACCATAGTGCCAGACCAGCTGCTATGGGCATAAGTTCCAAGCCTAGCCCTAAGAACCCACGCACTAGGGACACCCCTGCAGACCCAATCAAGTTGGCCCACACCAGTAGACCCTGGTGCCAGGCCAGCCCCAGAGGAGCCAGGATCCAGGCCCCCCAACAGATGATCCAAAGTCAGTGTCTGCCCCAGTGAATACAGGCTCTAGGCTCAAACTCATAAACTCAGACAACAGGCTAGCCTCTGGGACCCAGATACCAGCTCAGCCCACCTGCTGACCCAGTCACAAGGCCAGCTCCCAAAAAGACACCAGCAGCAAAGCTCATTAATGAACCCTGCCAGAGAGCCTACCAAAAATCTCCGCATAGACTCATTAAGTAAAGGGAATCCCCTGCCAAAGCCAGTCTGTAAAGTCTGGAAGAAGCGTCTGCTTCTTCAAATGCACAGAAACTAAGGCCATAAGGATCATAAATGATCAGGGAAACATGATCACTAAGAGAATAAAATAAAGCACCAGCAAACAATCCCAAAGAAATGGAGATCTTTAAACTGCCTAATAAAGAATACAAAACAATCATCTTAAATAAGTTCAGTGAGCTACAAGAGAATACAGTAGTCCCATTTTACTCATGCAGGATACACTGCACAATTCCCAGCAGATGCCTGAAACCAAGGATGGTATCAAACCCTATAGATACTATGCATAATTTTTCCCTTCACAATTTCACAGAGAGTAAATTTGTTCATATCACAGAAATTAAAAATCTCAGTGTATGTTTTTTTTCTTTCCTTATTAAGTTGAGACTTTCACATTTTCACTTAGAAGAAACACTTTATCCTTCTCTTTGGCATTGCCAAACTGTCAACATCACTACTCTGTACTTTGAAGCCATTATTTAGTAAAATGAGGGTTACTTGAACAAAAGCACTATCAGGTTACTGAGACAGTGAACCTGATAACTGACATGACCGCTAAGCAACTAATGGGTGGGTTGCGTCTATGGCATGGATATACTGAATAAAGGGATGATTCATGTCCCAGGAGGGATGAAGTGAGACCACTGAAGATTTCATTACTCTACTCAGAATGGCATGCAATTTAAATCTTATGAATTGTTTATTAATGAAATTTTTCATTTACAATTTTTATATTGCAATTGACCACAGGAAGCTGAAATCATATAAAGCAAAACTGGGGGAAAGGACAAGCTTCTGTACAGACACCAAAATCAGAAAATTGTTGCATGAACAAAATTAGAAATTCAACAGAGATAGAAACCATCAAAAAGAACAAAATAAAAATTCTTAATCTAAACAACACAATGACTGAATTGAATAATTCCACAGCAATCTTGAAGCAAACTAGATCATGAGCTCAAAGACAAGTCATTTAAAATTGCCCACTCAGAGAAACAAAAAGAAGAAGAAAGAAAAAAAATTAAGAGAAACTATGGAATTTATGAGATACCATCAAGTAAAGAAATTTACTCATTATGAAAGTCCCAGAAGGAGGAAAAAAAGAGAAGGAGATGAGAGGAGTTTACTTAAAGAAATAATAGCAGAAAACTTCCTATATCTGGAAAAAGAACATCCAGATCCTTGAAGATCAAATAACCACAAATAGATTAAATATAAAGAGATCTTACTGAAACACACAATAATCAA